CAAGCACTCCAAGGAGGGGGAAGGGGGGAAAGGTGGGAAGAGGAAATTCAGTGTCACCTCCCGGTCTCGGTAAAACCAACTGAGCTACAGAACTGGAAGATCAAGGTGGTTTAATTACTTTATTCATGAGTGAAGCTGATTAGTTTGAGAAATGTTACCAGGGCAACAAAACAAAGAGTCACCACGACCACAAATGTTGAGCCAATGCCATTTCCAAGGGGGGAGAACTGCCCTGGAGTTGGGATGGGCTTTGCACCCTCCCGGTTCCCGACAGTGCCACATTCCCAGAGCCATTCCTGGCTCTTCCAAGCAATTCTTTCAGGACCTAAAGGGTGTCAGAGGCAGCTGCTGCCTCTGGAGCAGTTTCCAACGTGCTCTGTGGTAACCAGGGCTCGGCAGAGCCGCCCTTTCCCCTCTGGAAAAGATTTGCCACAGGACAACAGTCCAGAAAAACGTCACATCAGCCGGTCTGGAAACAAGGCAAAGCTGCTACTACTTGGAAGCAGAGTCTCACTACAGCATTCCTGGGGGGGGATCAAGTGGGACAGCACAGGCAAAGCTATGGGGGAGAGATGAGGCTCCAGGTGGGGATGGGGGAGTGGAAGTTGCCCTCCCAGGCAGGAATTCCTAACGGAACTGCAGAGGGCTGATGCGCAGCCCGATGACGTCCTTGCCGATCTCCGTCACCTGAGGGACAAAAGGAGATGATTCACGGTCAAAAGCAGCTCCAAAGCCCAACCCAGTGCAGCCCTTGGAGCCTCCTCAGCTGCTCTGGAGAACAGAATCCCAGCTGGGGGTGGAAGGGACCTCTGGAGATCCCCCAGAGCAGGTGACACAGGGACACGTCCAGGTGGGGCTGGAATGTCCCCAGAGAGGAGGCTCCACACCCTCCCTGTTCCTGGGCAGCTGGTCCAGGGCTCTCCCACCCTCAGGTTTAGTTTAAGGCCATCACTCCTCGTCCTGGGCACCACTGGGAAGAGTCTGGGACCATCTGACACCCCTTGGAGATGTCTGAATGGATGGGTGAGATCCCACCTCAGGTGAGAGATCTGTAGGGATATCTGAGATGTCTGTAAGGATGGATGAGATCCCACCTCAGATAAGAGATTTGTAGGGATATCTGAGATGTGTGTAAGGATGGGTGAGATCCCACCTCAGATAAGAGATTTGTAGGGATATCTGAGATGTCTGTAAGGATGGATGAGATCCCCTCTCAGGGGAGGGGTTTCTGGGGATATCTGAGGTATTTGTATGGATGGATGAGATCCCCTCTCAGTCCTCTCTTCTCCAGACTGACCAGGCCCAGCTCCCACAGTCCCTCCTCATCAGGGAGATGCTCCAGCCCCCAAATCCCCTCTGAACACACACAGCCCATCCCCACGAGCTCACCCCCGAATTCAGGCACCGTTTCAACCTCACAACCCCCCCAAACTCTTCTCCCTCCCAGGCCAAGGCCTCTGACACGCCCCAACCCCACGAGTGAGCTCAGGAGGGCAGGGCAGGAGCCGAGGAAGGGAATTCCCCGGGGAACGGGGACGCCCTCACCGTGGTGACGCGGCAGATCTGCCCGTGGAACTCAGGGCAGTAGCAGGCCCCGCTGAGAGGACACTTCTCCACGGGCTTGCCGCGGTAGATGGGTCTGTAGGAGGCGGCGCAGATGTCGAAGGGGTTGTGCATGTCATAGTTGAGCTGGTGGGTGTCCGTGGGGCTCTTCTCACACGCCGACAGGATCTTGCGCGTCTGCAAGAACGGCGACCGCGGTGAGCGGGGCAGAGGCACGAGGAGACCCCAAAACGGGGCCTGTCCCACCAGGGGCTCCCACCTGAGCACCTCCCCGACGTACCTGCTGGGCCACCTCGGGCTTGGGGCCCAGCTCCAGCAGCCTCCGGGCGAAAGTCGCCGCGGTCTTGAAGTTCTTGAGCTTGAAGAAGAGGTTGAGGGCGGTTCGGAGCACCAGGATCATGTGCACGGGCTGCAGGTTGGAGTGGGTGAAGTAGGCAGCCATCTGCAGGAGGGAGCAGGGAAAACAGGGATACAGCCACTGCATGGGACAAACAGGGATACAGCCCCTGCCAGGGAAGGAGGGAAAGTAGGGATCCAACCACTGCATGGGACAAACAGGGATCCAACCCCTGCCAGGCATGGGGATGACTGGAAGTGCTGCCAGGAACCTGTCCCCCCCACATAACCAACCCCTGCTTTAAAGGTGGAAGGGGCAGAATTCCAGACTCCTGCTCCCCCTTTTTAACCCCTGTGAGGGCACACCCAGGCAGGGAAGGAATCCTGCACCTCACAAATCCGCTTCTGCTGCTCCAGGGTCTCCTTGGGCAGCTTCTTCCGCTCGATCTCCATGGAGAGCCCCACGATGTATTCCCGGCAAATGGCGATGAGCTGCTGGGCCTTGGGGAGAGGGACGGGCTCAGGAGCGGCCTCTTGGACCACCAGGGACACGGGGAGGGGGGGGTCTGCCCCTCACCTCGGCGATCTCCTGCTTGTTGTCCACCACCAGCAAGGGGACGCTGAGCAGGATGGAGCGGAACTTCTCCACGGCCTCCTCGAACTTGCCGGCGGTGGTGAGCTGGTAGCAGAGCTGCAGCCGCTGGATCAGGTCGTTGAGCTTCAGCCCCACGGCGGGGAGGGCGTTTTTCAGGCCGGCTTCTTTCCTGGGGACAGCCCAGAGAGGGGTTGGGGACACGGCAGGGTCACTGCCAGGCCGAGCAGGAACGTGCCGACCGCGACTCGTCCCGGTTTTCACGGGATCACCCAGGTTGGAAAAGACTTCCAAGGTCACTGAGTCCCCCCTGTGCCCCATCCCC